GCACTATGCTGACATTTCTATCTGCTGGAACCTGCAGGCAGAGTTCAGCCCAAAGCTGGACCTAGCTGTTTTCTAGATGAGTGGAAGGGAGAGCTAAGGCCCTCTGGAAGGGGCCTTCTTGGTTCTGACTGAGGGAGACCAAGGGGAACCTAGAACTCTAACAAGGGGGACCTTGGAGGCCAGAAACATGAACTTTAGCCTTGAGGCTGGAGGTCCTATGACCAAGGACAGTGAGGACCCCCCTGTAAGTAAGCAGAATAGGCATTCTGGGCCTGGCCTGGGTCCCTCCCCAGGCCAAGCTTGCCCCTCACTCTTACAGAACATGCAGCCCACCAGATTTTCCGTGGACCACCACAGTGGCGTGCTGCGCCTCCAAGCTGGGGCCACCCTGGACTATGAGAAGGCCCAGGCCCATTTCATCACCTTGGTTGCCAAGGTAATGGGGAGGGATGGAGGGCACTCAGTCTTTCCTCAGCCTTTGTCAGGGGAAACTGCACTTGGGTGACTACAGAGTTGGACTCTACAGTAGAGTGGGGCAGTTTGGAGAGCAGATGATTGGGTCGGGGTTGAGGGTGGCAGGGTGTAGCTGTGATGTCTGTTTTCAGTGGACCCTGCCCAGACATGGACATATTCTCCAGGGTGGCTGCTGTGGGCTGCTATCGTCATGTTCCTTCCTGGGGACTGACAGGCCATGTCCCCCTCAATAGGCCTGGAGACTCATGTCCCATCACATGCCCCACAGCCTGGCCTCTGCCCATCTCCTAGGTTTGCTCACCCCACCTCTTCCTCTCTGAGTGACCAGTTACCCTCTTTGAGCCTCAGTTTCCTCATCAGCCCATCCCTGAGGCTTAACTAAGTTCCTCTTATTTCTAAAGTGTGTGGTGTGGGGCCTGCAACTCAGCAAGTGCTTCGTCAAAGTTGCTACTCCTTGAGGGAAGTAAACCCCAACCTTCTAGGCCCAGAGTTTAATTTCCAGGAAGGCCCCTGCTGGTCACTTGTGGGCTACGGCTATCCTGGTCCAGCTGTGCCAGGAGACCAGAGCTGGCCCCACCTGCAGTTTCTCCATCAGGGCTGGGCTCGGCACACAGCTCCATTCCACACTGGGTGCAGCCGAGCCACACTTGGGGGTCCTCGAGGTGTTGAGGTTTGGTTCCTGGCTGGGAGAAGAGTTGACTTGGATTCCTTCCTTTGCCACTTGTCTGACATGATTTCCCTGGAGAGAAAACTAACCCTGTTTCCAAAAGAACCTTTTTGAGTGTCTACTGCATACCAGACATGGACTGAAGACCTTCATGCATCACCTCAGTTCATGTTCCCAACACTCCTGAAGGGGGAGTGATCTCAGCTGTCTCTTGTAAGCAGCAGGAGCCCTATTCCGCCGAAGCCGGTGCAGCTCCAGAGCCAACCTCTCCTGTGCCGATTCCTCTGCAGGATGGCGGAGGGAGGCTGCGAGGGGCTGAGGTGGTGTTCTCTGCCACCACCACGGTCACAGTCAGCGTGCAGGACATGCAGGACATGGTCCCTGTCTTCGTGGGCACACCCTTCTATGACTATGTGTATGAGGACACCATTCCGGTGGGTGACTGTGCCCCTCAGCCCAGGTCCCCTCCTGGTGCTTCCTGCCCTGTCTTCAAGCTGCCCTGGGGCCCCTGCTGATGTGAAGTAGGAAATGGAGAGGTGTAGGCATCAGAGCTCAGAGAGTTAAGAGGCAGGTACGGTGTGAGAAAGCAGGGCCCAAGGAGGGAACTGTTACGACGACTGAGACCAGGCGCGCTCACAGAACAAGGGGAGGGGTCCTTGAAGGGCCTCCTGAGACGTTTGCCATGTGGTTCACGAGGTGCTTATGGACTCTTGGCCCTGGCTTTGCAGCCTGTGTTAGGTACCTGTTGCTGTGTCTCCACACTTCCCTCCCCGCCGCCTACGCCTGGCCAAGGGACCCGGGGCAGAGCGGGTAAAGCTAGGGTTTGAACCCAGGCCCCGCTGCAGAGGGAGTAGTGCAGTGAGGTGGAAAGAGTCCTGAGGAATCGGGCGCATCTGCTCGCTAGCTGGCGGCAGGTGCAGCCTCAGCCCCCTGGGCTAGTAGTAGCACTGTATTAGTCTCCGGTGGCTGCTGTAATAGATTATCACAGACCTAATGGCTTTAAAAAACACACCTTTCTGTCCTGCAGTTTCTGTGGGTCAGGCGTCCAGGCTCAGCTTAGCCGGGTCCTCAGTTTTACAGTCTCGCAAGTGGCTGCCTGGTATTGGCAGGGTTTGGCAGGATTTATTCCGTTAGGCTGATTGGCTCAGAGCCTCAGGTTCTTTCTGGCTGTTGACTAAAGGTCACTACTAGTTTTCTGAGACATGGGCCTCTCTGTAGGTGCTGCTTGCGTCATCAAAGCCAGCGAGAGAGTTGTTAGAAGATGGTAGTTATAATCTCTTGTAATCTGATTGCCAAGTAGCCTCTCATCACCTTTGCCACATTCTGTAAGTCAGAAGCAAGTCACCAGGCCAGACCACACTCCAGGAGAGGGGACCACTTAAAAATAAGTACCAGGAGGTGGGGTCACTGGAGCCTGGAGTTATCCTATCACACAACCATGGTCACTTGCTCCCATCCTAGGTGACTGAGGTCAGCTCTGCAGGGAGCCCAGCTGCCCCGGCCACAGTCCCTGTCACCATAAGGACTGTGGACTTCAACAACCACCCACCTACATTCTATGGAGAGAGTGGACCCCAGACCAGATTCAAGCTGTCCATGTATGAGCACCCGCCACAGGGGGAAATCCTGCAGGGCCTCAGGATCACTGTCCATGACTCAGACGAGGTTTGTGACTCTGCCCTTCACCTTGTCTTCCTGAAAATCATATGGGGTCAAGGTCCCAAAGCTGAGTCTGCAGCAGCCTTCACTGTTTATGTCACAGGGGCCTGGTGGGAGAGTAATCAAAGACTGCTTGGCCTAAAGACACTCACAATCAATTAAAAAGTAAAAGTCGGTCAAACAAAAGCACCTCTGCATCTGACCGGCCAGACAGGCATTTGTGGATGTGTCCTGTCGCCTCCCATGCCCAGCACAGGGTGAGGCCTCTGCACTTCTCTCCTTTGTGGTCCTCGTTGTCTGTCAACCCTTCCTGATCCTTGATGGCCTCACCTTCACAAGGAAGGAAATGCTTACCTCCCGAGGTTCAGGGCCTAGGGAGGCTCCTCGCTCGGCACTGCTGTACATGAGTCTCTCTTCTCACCCATCTTCCTTGTTCCCTCTCCAAACTACTGCAGGAAGCCAATGCCACATTCAACCTGCAGCTGGTGGGAATCGGGCATGTCTTTCGAGTGGTACCACAGACAGTCCTGAATAAAGCCCAAGTCACAATCATCGTGGAGAATTCAGCTGCCATTGACTTTGAAAAGTTCCAGGTGTTAACCTTCAAGGTATGTGATGCTTTGCATTGTCCTGAATGGGGCCTGGGCCCCAGCAGCTCACAGCAGCACCTGGGTTCCTTCCTGAGGGGTCCCTTGTCACCCCTGCCCCTCCTAGTCCTACTACTCCCTTTCTCTCAGTCCCTGTGCCCCAGCTGCTGATTCGGGGAGAGAGCGGGGCAGGGAGAGAGGGTGATTGAGAGCCTTCTCTGACTGCTCACATAGCCTCTCTGAGCTCCAGCTTCTGAACGACAGCTGTCCCGGGACTGCAGGGAGGTTCAGAGGGAAACTACAGTGTGCAAGCTGCTGTGTTAATAGGCAGAGAAAGAAGCTATTTGTCAGGACAAATCCTTTTCTCATGTGCATTTGACATGTCATCTATTCTGATAAAAACTTTAGCAGAACATAAAAAATACTCTTTGTATTTGTAATTATTAGAAGTTATCAACATATAAACAATGCCTATTGTACATAAACATATAAATATTAATAAAAAGGAAAAAATAAACATTTGTTGATGTTATTTAAATTGTTAAAATTACTTATAATTATACATGTATACAGAGTGAACATCATTCTTAAACATGGACTTCTAAAGCATTCTGTGAAGCCAGGAACAAAATGTGGACACCTGCTATGACCACTGTTATTTTGCACTATTGCAGGGATAATGGTATTCCTGGATACGTAAAGGAAATAAGAGGTATAAACATTAGAAAGGAAAACTTGAATTATCATTATTTTTAAGTGATGTGATTGTTTGCTTGGAAAAACCTAAGGGGAATTGAAAAATAGTTAGAAACATAGCAAAGTTGTTAACATGATTGGTTACAAAATTAATACATGAAATCCAGTAGTTTTCCTACATACAAAAAATATCAGTGAAAATAATAGAATAAAATAGTTTCTTTTATAATGACAACTAACAGAAAAAGTTCTTAGGAATTACTATAACAAGAAATGGGCAACATCTAAATGACAAAAAATGCAAAAATTTTACAAAAGGATATGAAGAAGGAACCCCTATTAAAAATGCCAATTCTCATTAATAAAGAATCCAGTGCCATCTCAATTAAGTCTTACCTAGAATTTCCTTCAGAGAGCTGGTGAGGGGACTCGACACATCTCGACACAACCTGTAAGAGTAGTCAGGAAAATTCAGGAAAAGGAACGAGGCAGGAACTTGCTCTAACAAATATTAAATTATATCATAAAGCACAATACATTTAAAAATTGGAACTAAGGAGTATGCAAATCAGTGGAACAAAAGAAATGGGCAGCAATGCAGGTGGAACTATAAGAAAGCTGGCATTTCAAGTTGGCGGGGTGCCCCCTGTGGATGGTCGCAGGAAGAGCAGCTGACAGTAAGAACTGAGAAGAGGCAGGTGGGTCCTGAGCCAGGGCTGGGACAGGGAGTGATTGCCACCTAGACAAGTCCTTGCTTTTCTGCCTCCCCCAGCTTCTGGCCATTGAAGCAAACACTCCGGAGAAGTTCAGCTCCACAGCAGATGTCGTGATTCAGCTCCTGGACACCAATGACAATGTCCCCAAGTTCACCTCTCACTACTATATTGCCAGGATTCCTGAGGATGCCCCAGGGGGCTCCAGTGTGGTGGCTGTCACAGTGGGTTGGGGTCTGGCCCCGGGACTGAGGGTCGGGTTGGGAGCTCCACCAACGGAGACATTACAAAGTCAGGCAAATCTGGGCTCCAATCTGAATCACCCATACTCATTAGCTTGTCCTTGGACAGGCTGCCTGCCCTCAGGGAAACTCCATTTTTTCTTCTTCACAATGGGGACAGCACCTCACAGGACTATAAGGGGGTATAAGTGTTAACCCCAAGCTCAGGGCACAGGACTTGCCCCCTTTCCCTTTCTCATTTACAAAGAAGGAATAGAATGCATGCCTTCCAGGTATAGACCTTTTGGAACCTGTAACACTTGAGATTCCTGGGCAGAAAACTAAGGCTTCAGGGCAGGCCTCCAGATCATTTTCTACCAGAGCCCGACAACCCCCCAAGTCCCTTGTTTTGCCATTGAAAACAACCCTCAGACACATGAGCTGCTAATGTGCGCGAACAAAGGGCAGGTGCCACTAGGAGCTTTCTCTCTTCCAGGCTGTGGATCCAGACACAGGTCCTTGGGGTGAAGTCAAATACTCCCTGTATGGGCCAGGGGCAGACCTGTAAGTAGATCCAGTCTCAGACAGGGCCTTGGGCAAGGGGCTTGGGAGACTGAGGGTAGATGGGGCCTATGCTGAAGTCAGGAGCAACCTGGAAAGGGTGAGACCTGGGTCGTGAAGGTGAGCATGGGTCAAGGAGCAGAGGGAAGCAGCGGAGAGCCTGAGGCAGAGGCACTGGGCACGCTCCGTGAGGTGCTTGGATCTGAGAGAAGGGTTGTCATGATGGCCTGGAGCTGAGGCCATGACCTCAGGAGCCAGGCAAGCAGTGCTGGCTAGGGAGGAACAGACCATGGGAGGAGACGGAAGTCTGTGACTCAGGTCATTAATGTAATGTTGATGGGTAGGTGAGTAGTTGGTCAGACCTGCCTACCTCAGTCAGACTGCAGGGATGGGGAGAAGGGCGTGTGGGATGCCTTAGAGGAGCTGCATAAGGTGTTACTTCTTGGAGGCAGCTCATTACAGCAGGCATGCAGTGTGTCCGTGTGCATGTGCATGTCCTTGTGCATACCCCGGCCTGTTCCCTCTGTGCCTGGCAGCTTTCTGATTCACTCACCCACTGGGATCATCTACACCCAGCCCTGGGCCAACCTGGATGCTGAGGCCACTGCGAGGTACCACTTCTATGTGAAAGCCGAGGACATGGAAGGCAGGTACAGCCTGGCGGAGGTGATCGTCACTCTGAATGATGTCAATGACCACTACCCCCAGTTTGGACAGAGAATCCAGGAGAAGACGATGGTGCTGGGGACCCCAGTGAAAATTGAGGTGGGCTTCAAAGACAACTCAGTTCCCCTAAAAGCTTTGTTCTGGCAACTGCAAGAGACAATGTGGCATAAGAATTTATTTTAAAATAAAATGTATTGGATTCTCACTCTTGGCAAGGGTTTTTTAAGATACCTGATCTATTCCCAGCCTCACCTCAACCCAGAGGTGGCTCCTGTGCCACCAAACACAGAAATGACCTCTGAAAAGATATTGCCACTTGACAAAATGGAAGATTGAGTCCCAGGTGGGTTAGGTGCTGCTTTACCTTAGCTCACAGAGCTGGCCTCCTGCTCTCAGAGCAATGCCCTTCCCTCTGCAGGCAGGCCTCCCATGTGGGAGCACGACCCCAAGGCCCAGCAGACTTGACTCTCAGCTCCCTCCTCTACCTGTCTATCCTCAGACAAGTCACTCAGTATCCAAGCTTTTGTTTTTCAGCACTACCTCCTGCCTAGATTGTTCTGAGAATGGAGTGGCACAGCACACATAGCAGGCCTGGCACTGGCCTGGTTCATAGTAGGGCACACCTTCAACTTCTCTCCCAGCTCCAGTCCACTCAATAGGACCAGGACCATGTCCTATCCATCCAGCAAGCCCCATATGACATGTTGGTGTAGATGGGGGGCACAGCACTATCCTAGAAGCCCAGCCATGCCTGTCTCTCCCTGTGCACAGGCCATAGACCAGGATGCGGAGGAGCCCAGCAACCTGGTGGACTATTCCATCATCCAGGCAGAGCCAGCCAACGTGTTCAACATCGATGCACACACGGGGGAGATCCGACTCAAGAACTCCATCCGCTCCCTGGATGCTCTGCATAATATCACGCACAACAGAGGGTGCACATGGTCCCTAGAGGTGCAGGCCAAGGACCGTGGCTCCCCGTCCCTCAGCACCACGGCCTTACTCAAAATTGACATCACAGACCCTGAGGTGGGTAGGAAGCTCGCTGGGGCAGAGGCTCTGATGGCCAGCTCAGGCCTTGCTGCCCCAGGGCCAGAGGGAGGGACCGCCCTCCTTCAAAAGGCCCTCCGCACTGACAGGCTCCTGTGCCACCAAACACATAGGCTTTGGAGTCAGGTTGAAATCCCAGTTTTAATATCATAATGGTGTGACTTTGGATTTTGCCAAGCCCCCACTTCCTTTTTTGTAAAATGGGAGTAGTGATGCCGCCTTGTCATGGGTGTTGAAAAGCAGGAGTGAAATCATTATGCATCGTTCTCAGATCAGTGCCAGGAAGAAAGTTTTAGGAGCTCCTGTTACAGTTGAGCAGATGTGGCGCCTGCAGTGAAAGATAAGTGACATCCTCCTTCCTGGAGAAGTCCAGGTACCGAGGAAGCCTTAAGTCAGGAAAGGTGTTTGCGGCATGCTTCCTCTGTGCATGTTTTCTGGTGAGTTGCATGCATTGTGTTTTCCTCTCTGGGTGCATTGTTCTGTGATGAAGCCCGTAGTGTTCATCAGATTCTCAAAGGATAGCTGACCCCAGAAAGTAAAAAAAAACATCAGGCTTAAGGGAGCTCACAACCCCTGCTCTGTCTTCCAACGATCCGGCAGGGGAAGCTGACTGTAGGGCTCTCTCTTCCAGATGCTGTCCCGAAGCCCCATGGACACCCTCCTGATGCAGACCAGAGACAACCCAATGAAGGCTGTGGGGGTGCTGGCCAGCATCATGGTCATAATCCTGGCCATAACAGTCCTTGTCTCTACTGCCACCTTCTGGTGCAACAAGAAATCCAACAAGGTCCTGCCGGTGCGGCGAGTGCTCCGCAGGCGGCCCAGCCCTGCTCCCTGTGCTGTCCCCACCAAGGAGATCCAGTCCAGCAGGGCCGAGGCTGCTGCCAAGTTTGTTCCCCAGGAGAACCCTCCCAACGAGAGCTGCAGCAGCGGCCCAGGAAGGGCCCCATCCCCCAGAGCCCCAGCTCTCCCTCCTCCACCCAGAATGGCGCTCAGCACAGGGGCAGCCCCCTGGACTGTGCCTATGGTCTCTGGCTCACTCACCTCTCTGCAACCTCAATGGTCACCCAAACCCAAAGCCCTGGGAAGCCCCATCCGGTCAGCTCTGGTCTCTGAGCTCAGGCAAAAGTTTGAGAAGAGAACAGCTAATGCGGCTGATTTATAGAGTGCAGCTCACAGCCCCTCCCTTCCCCACCTCACCCTCCCCAGCTCTGCCCCTTAAGGCCACCCCTGTTTTGTACAGCGCTGTAACCTCCATATTCAGGGCTCTGGACAGCACCTTGGGCAAGGGATTTCCCTGGTTCTGGATGTAGTTGGACAGTACTTTCCATGCCCAGGTCCTTGGCACAGCTACAATGTTCTCCATTCTGCAGAAGCTGGGATCAACAAGGAGCTGCTCTGTCCGTCCTTGACTCACCAGCCCCAGACCTCACAGTCCCTCAGGTTCTCCTGGGCCTCCACAGCATTAGACGAGGAGCAGGGCCCTGGCCACACGAGACAAGGCTGTCTAGAACCTGGATCCCGAAGCCTCCAGCTCAGAGCAAGAGCAGACAAAGGAGGGTCAGTGCTGGCGAAGGTTGGAGGCCAGCAAACCTTGTAGGCTAAGGGAGAGCGAATGCGGCAGGAAAGGGCAAAGGTGCCCTGAAAACATGCTGTGTGGGCTGTGGCTGAATGCCGCTGGGAGGGTGGGGTATCAGGGCTGAGGAGACCTCTTCTCTCATGTGCTGTAAACTTGTGAAAGCTGCTTAGACCCCCTGGTCGTCCCCTCCCTCACTTGTGAAATGAAGAAAGTAAATCCTGTCTGCTCCACTCAGGTCTGGGGTGAGGGACAGAGTAACTCGCAGCGAAGAGGAGTCAGCCCAGTGCAAGCAGCACACATGCTTTCTGCAGGCTCCTCTCAGGGTTCAGCAGCACCAGAAACTATTAAGACCCTCTCAGCTACTCCAAGCACCCCAGGAAGTGCTGTGCTGGGTTGGGTGCTGCTGCTGGCCCATGGCAGCCAGAGCTTCGCCCTTGATTCATGCACCTCCCCTTCCATCCCCTGCCGCCACCACATCCCTGGTGCAGCCTGGGCAGCCACCAGCACAAAGCTCAGAGCTGGGCAGCACAGCCATCCAGCCTCCACTTGTCAAGATGACAAAACAGCTTCCCAAGAATGACCCCCGGAGGCCTCACGGGGCAGGTCAGAGACCTGGTCTGAGGGCTTCTGGCTCCGCAGTCTTGTTCTCTATCCAGGACCCAACTTGGAAACTTGTGACCACTTCCCTCAGGAGAGGAGATGTGCAGGTCTCTGTGGCTAGGACCAAGAAGTTCTGTCTGACTTTAAGGAAACCTGCTGTAAGGAAATCTAGCCATGTACACAGAGAGAGTTCTTTGCATTTTGCTCCACTCATTAATAACCCTCTAGGATCTGTCAGTGATTTTATTTAAGCAAATGATATGCACATGTGGTTTTCTTGATTTCTGAGTATGTGTTTTGGGGTGTTACTCAGATGTGCCACTGTGCAGGGTCCTTGCTGGGGTGTGTGCAGCCCAGACCCAGAGAGTAGTAAGAGGAGGGCTGTAAGGAGCTGGGTGCCCAGACTGAGCAGACAGGTCCTTGCACTCTGTGTTTCAGGAGAGGGCTGCGCTGGATCACACTGGATCTCCAGTTTGCATGCAGCCCACCTCTTTTGTAAATGGGAAATAAAATGTGTTAACCCACAGTCAAGCTGACCTCTGCTCCCTGCTGATGCTCACGTTCACTGATTCACAGAGACCAATTCCTGATATGCATCCAAGCTCATCCTACCTCCTGGCTTGCCGATGGATCTGTCCTTCAACCCCCAGATCTGACTCTTTGGGTGGCTGCAAAATTTTGTTCAATTTGCCACGCGGACACCTCAAACAGCAGCCAATTTGCAGGACATGTCTCCCTGTGTGTGCCATGTCCTGAGTCTGGACAAGCCCTGGCAGGGCTGGGGAGGGCTGGAGTCTGGGGCTAGAACTAATTGTCCCCAATCCAGCCCAGCAAGGGCAGGAATCAGGAGACCTGACATGAGCATGAACACCGGAGAAGCACTCACCGCTGGCCCTGGGACAGTCATGAAGGCCTCCAGGTTGGGGACTCAGGCCAGCATCGGGGCCCTGGGAGGGGACAAGCCCAGGAACTTGAACTGCAGAGCCAATTTTGAAAACTGGGCATGTGGGAAACTCTTGCACTAGGAAGTATGGGGAAAGTGTGCAGTTGCCAGCATGAGTGACACTGAGAAAGAGGAGGAGGGTGCCACCAAATATAAGGGACCGGCACATGTGTTTGGCATTGGAGGGACCCCAGCCTGTGTGAGTGAGGCCAGGCTAATTTCACCACTGTAAGGAATGGTGGAGGCCAAGGGACTGCTTGCTCAGTGGCACTGGGCAAGGTCTAGACTACAACTGGCACAATGTTAGGCCACCAAGTGAGGACCTAGAAGGCAGGGGTGACAGACTGGGCAGGCTCACCCCTCCTGGGCCCTGAGAATGGAGCTTTAGACCCTGGATAACCAACAGATGTGGCTCAAAGAAGTGTGCAGAATACTGTGTGTTTCTTCTTGTGGCTGAGCTCAGACTTTCTAATTATATAAAACAATATAGCGTTTTACAGTCTGATAGCCCCAGGTCTGCATCCTGGTTCTGCCACTTAGGTGTGACTTTGGATCTCACTTTCCTCATCAATACAGGGCACAAAGACTTGTTCCCTCGAGGATGACAGGAGCTAATGCACGTAAAGCGCCTGCCACCAGCTTTCTATCAGCCAACACAAGCTCCGGAGACAGTTGCTATTCTTAGTTGTACAAGAGGGTGTTTGAGGATGGCCGACAGTCCCCATGCTTGAGCACTATGTCCTGGAGGAGAGGGCTCCTCCATGCACCCTTATCTCCAGGACTTTTCCATCCACTGCTAGATCTGGGGGAGAAGACAGAGGCCAAGGAGGGTCAGTCCACCTAACATGGACGTCTGCCGCTGCTGGCAGGCAGGGAGGCTTCCCAGTAGTCTTCAAGGGCCCTGGCCATGGGAGGGTGGACAAGGGAAGCAGGGAAGATGCCACGTGAGGATTAAGGCTGCCAAACTGGCATGTGGCCACATGAAAGACCCCTTCGGAAATTCACATAAATAACTTGGAGGGAGATGGTTCTTTGAAGGGACTAGTTTCCAGAATGAGGTGGTGATGGCTAAGTGACCATAATTTGTGACCAATAAAGTAAGTGACCTTGTGTTGCAGCTACAGGCTGATGACATTGGGTACATTTGCATAACACTATGAATCTTACAAATGCATCTCTTTGGCTGAGTAAGACCCACTCCCAATCACTCCTTCAATAGCACAGTCTCAGGATATCATCTGTGCCAGGCCCCCTGCTAGGTGTTAAGAATACAGGCTCTTGTAAGCCAGAGAAAGAAAAGAGAAAAAAATCCCTCCCTTCAGGTCTAGCAGCAGAGGCTGGGACTAGCAGTGGCTTCGTTCTGAAAGTGAGGAGCCCTGCTAACCCATTTCTCCTGCATCAGATGTACTTGCCTTAAAAGTGCCTGGTAGAAACTCTGAACAGATAAGTTTCCCAAGAGCATGACAATTGAATCTCAAACTATAGCATCTTTTAGACATTAATTAAACAGAGCACGTGAAAGATATTAGCAGAGATATCATGTCATTACATATATATTTATACCTGTGCACACATGTGATCCTAATAAGACCTGATATTCCAAATGGCTCAGTCTGTACACAGAGTCACATCCCACACATACGCGCACACACCCTGACACAGGCCTCATAGATGGTGACAGCATTTATTGTGGTGGTGTTTCCTGAGGGCTTATTATGTGACAGGCATTGTTCTGAGCTTTACATGTAAAAACTCTCAGGGTCACCCAGACAACCCTATGAGGTAAGGACAATTATTATTCCCATTTTACGGATGAGGAAAGTAAGGCACAGAACAATACGGCAATGTGCCCGATGTCCCAAAGCAAGTAAAAAGCAAAGCCAACATTTAGGCAAGAAACTGGTTCCGGAGCCTATGCCCTTCCTCACACTGTCACGGGGCCCACAGGGTGAGAAGCACAGCTTCCCTCTGGGATTTTTGAAGGGGAGTCTAAGGGTCCTAAAGAATCAGACCCCCAGAAACCCTCTGTAGGCCTCAGGAAATCCTGCTCCCTGAATTCCCGCATTCACAGGAGCGGCCGAGCTCTGCCCGGCTCCCTGGCATCCTCTCGCCCTCAGAGGCCATGGGAAGTACAAGTTCTTGCCCTGCTCCAATCGCTATTCTTCAAAATGTATCACGAGACGTTTCACAGGAACAAATTGTCACATACATGTACGGATGTGTTGTTTGCACACATATAACTATATGTAGATAAAACTTAAAAATATATGTTCTTAGATGTGATAATGGCATTTTTAAAAAAACTTTATCTGTTATAGCTAAAACTAAAATATTCACAGGTGAGCTGTAGAGCTTTGTGTTTGCCTTTAAATACTCCAGTTTTAAAAAAAAGTTGAAATAAGACTGGAAAATGTTAAAAAAATATTGAAGCTGCCCTGGCAGGTGTGGCTCAGTGGCTAGAGAATCAGCCCCCGCACCAAAGGGTCACTGGTTCAGTTACTGGTCAAGGGCATGTACCTGGGCTGTAGGTTCAAACCCCAGCTCTGGTCGGGGTGCGTGTGGGAGGCAACCAGTCAGTGTGTCTCTCTCACATTGATGGTTCTTTCACTCTCTCTCTCCCCTCTTTCTCTTCCACTCTCTCTAAAAGTCAGTGGAGGACATGTCCTCGGGAAGGGTGAGAAGGAATTCACAAGGAAGGTGGGAAGGAGGGTGCTGCAGGAGGCTGGCTCACACAGCCTCCGGGGCATTTCCCTGTGGGGAGAGAGATGTGGGTTTAAATCCTAGTCTTCACCAGCTGGGCTTCTCAGAGGGATGGTGAGCTGTCTCTGGGATTCGTGGGGACCCCTCCATCCCACAAGAGCTCAGATAAAGGAAAGGAGCACCTCTCTGGGATTTTATAGGAAACACTGACTAGTGGAAGGGGAAGGGATTCTATTGTCATTTGTGAAACAATATTTGTCATGCTCAGCACTGAGATTTTAGCGAGGGACACAGGGCTGAAAACAAGCCTGACGCTCACAATCTCTCGGGACTAGGGGAGAATCAGGACTGTGTACTTACCCTTTGCAAAAAAAAAAAAAAGAGAGAATCATATAACTTTATATAGATTCTTTCCTTCTGGCTATGTCTCGAAACTCTGCCTCCAGCAGCCTCTGGAGCCTGAGCCCTGGGCTGCAGCCAATGCCTGTCACTTGGTGCTGATGGCAGTGCTCTCAGGAGCACCGAAGACCGCTCATGGGACACAGGCGCCCTCAAACAGAGACATGCATCACCCGCCAGGCTTTTACTACTCAAAGGACAGCTTTTTGAAACATCAAACTTACAAATCTCATTGGAAGTTTGCCATTAAGAGGGAGAGTAATATCACTTTCTGAACAACAGGAGACACAGGATGCTGCAGAGCAGACAGAGAAACGGAATTAGAGCCTCTTCTGAGTGCTGCCTTACTGCCTGCTAGATGGGTGGCTTTGAGTAAGTCGTTGGAATCCTCTGGGCATCCGTTTTTTCACCTGTGAAAAGGGGTAGAATTCTACCTTTCTTTAGTAGGATAACACATGTGAAACGTCATATGTGAATGTTAAGTGTAAACATGTAAATGTTATAGGGCTATGTATGTGGACAGAGTAACATTTATTAATTTCCATACGCTGAGTGTAATAAAATGACTGGGCGGGACAAAGCTTCTCCGGCATCGGCTCCATAGAAATAAGAATGTGTCTCCTGTTCACGGTGTCAAGCTCAGTGCCAGGAACACAGGAGGTGCTCAATAAATAATTGTTGAATAAATGGATCAAGGCAGCTGAGCTGCCAGAGGGTCAGTGTAGGGACTGGAAGCCCGCGCCGTGCCGCAGCTTCGTCCAGGTGGTCAGCCACCCTCTCCCCCTCTTTCTTCCCCCTCCTCAGTGTCTCTGTCCTGGGTGGTCCTCACCGACAGGGGTGTGGTCTCTGTAGGAGTCGTGCCTGTGCTGTGGGGCTGCATGGGGGCGCCTGCGGGCTTTCCTACTGTGGGGACAGCGGAGCAGACCCCACTCCCTGCAGGTGCAGGGGGCTTGGGCTGCCCAGACGTAGGCAGCCACGGGCACGGCAAGAAACACCGCACACAGGACCGCCGTGACATGCAGGGGGCACTCCCGCTCCGCCGGCCCGCTGCAGTCCCTGCCCGGCACAAAGACCACACACTGGCCCTGGTGTGGCAGCTGCCCCCAGGCTGAGACGTGCCTTGTGTTTTGTGCCTGGGAGGAGGCCATCCATAAGGTGTGAGTTTATTCCAGGGCTGATGTGTATCATCTTCTGTTTCCTGAGAGCTACATCTGACGCAACGGAGAGGGCGAACCACTTCTCCTCAGAGGTGCCGGCCACCACGAACCGCTCCAGGAGGATCCCACGCACTGTCTGCTTGACAACCGCAGGTCAATGTAGGCATTGCCCCCCAAGGGGAAGGAAAGAGAATGGGGTGCAGACAGGATTGGGACAGGCTGGACATGGAGGGACATGACAACCGTGCTCCTGACGGTGGAGTTGAGAGCCACACAGGTGTAATTGCCCCTGTCTTTTAGATGGGCAGCAGGTATGACCAGCTCTGACAGAGCAGCATCTTCCGTGGCAGATGAGGTCAACACTGAGGAGAGAGAGCAGAACAGCTGTGCATTTCTCTGATGGACACCTGGAGTATCCAGCAGTGCACTTTTTGTTAAAAGGTGGTGGTTACCATTCATTAGCCATGCAGGTTGTGTCAGGCGTTTGCCTCTCAGCAACCCTGAAGGGCAGTACCCAGTTTTTACACATAGGAAGTTGAGGACTGGAGCCATTAAGGAACTTGCCCAGAGGCAGCAATTGGTCTGAAACCTTGTTCTTCTGTCTGTGGAGTCCTTCAGCTGTGCCGGCTGCTCCCGCCAAATACCTTGGCCTTGCTGAGCTCCCACCAGGGCTTCCAGATCTCTCACAGCTGTGTGACTGTGCAGTGCTGTGAGCTGTGAGAAGTGCCCTCTCACCCCAGGATGTGGAGTGACTTAGAACCTGGAGCCAAAAGCCTGGGTTCTGTCCCTTACTAGATATATGGTTTTGGACAAGTTGTTTGGATTCTCTTAGCCTCAATTTCCTCATCAATAATATGGGATGATAACAGTGTTCACTCCACAAGATTGACAGTAAGTGGCTTATGGGTGTTAGCTGTTATTACTGCTGAGAGAGTAAATATAATGTGGTGCCAAGGAGACTGATTACGGAGCTCACAAAAGTTAGTATCTGGATGCATTTCACTGTTCTCAAAGGGGCTACAATAATAAACCCTATATTTCTCTTTCATTGGTGTTTAACCTCAAGCCAATAAAATGTGATCAAAATGATAAGAAAAAGTCAAAATTTCAGCCAATTTAGCATTTTTGATCATTCAGAGGTTTGTCACCATGTATACAAATATCTGGGTGACTGTGTTTCTCAGGTTTTATTTTTTTTAAGGGTTTTTGTTGATTTCAGAGAGAGGAAGGGAGAGGGAGAGGGAGATAGAAACAAAGATGAGAGAGAGTCATTGATTGGCTGCCTTCTGCACACCCCCTACTGGGGATCGAGCCCAAAACCCAGGCATGTGCCTTGACCGGGAATTGAACAGTGACCTCCTGGTTCACAGGTGGACAGTCAACCACTGAGCCCCTGGGCTGGGATATTTCTCAAGTTTTACTCAGATATTTCTAGTTGTCTTCTGAACCACTTCAAGATACCCCTGGGAGGCCATCCTGGTTTTGTGATGTGCCCCATCCCTCAGGGTGGCATTAAAGCAGAGCAAGCACAGAGCTCCAGAAAATGAGAGGCAGGTATGAATCCCAGCTGTGGGGCCACCAGCCCACCTCTCCCTGAGTCCTAGTATTACAGCTTCAAATCAATAAGGTCAGTAAAGTGGTGGGAAGTGTAAAATCCCATCAATTGCTAAGGCTTCCCACCCTTTTCTAATCTTAAGAATTAGCTGGGGGGGGGAGGTGGGGGAGAGGGGAATACTTGTTAAAATATATTCTTAGGTCTTCCCTTGGATTCACTTAATCCAAACTTCCAGGGCAGGGGCCTGGAGATCTTATTTCAAACAAGCATCCCAGGTGAGTCTTCCCAGGCAAATTTAGGAAATAAGTAATGGATAATCTCTAGAATTAGTCCTAGTCAGAAATTTCTATGATTTAAAAATACACAATATAGTGTTTTACATCTAGAAGACCTTCAAAAATTAATTTGTTCATATAATTTTACACTTCCCACCACTTTACTGACCTTTTCTCTGAGAATATATTTTAACAAGTATTCCCCTCTCCCCCACCTCTCCCCCCCCAGCTAATTCTTAAGATTAGAAAAGGGTGGGAAGACTTAGCAATTGATGGAATTTTACACTTCCCACCACTTTACTCACCTTTTCTCTAATATTTATAGAATATGTTAAGTGAACTCCAAGATATATATTTACACATATATGTCTTATAGAGATTTGTATGCAACCATTTAAAAAAATGCCAATAGTGGAACACTACCTTATTGTGGTGTGTATAATTCAGGCCTGTCTCAATCTTACCCACTCCCAGTTTAGAGCCTCTCTACTGAGGACAGGGTTGCTACAGACCTCCCCACTCTCCCAGATATGTTAACAGGGTGCATGTGGCTTACCATCAAATTCCCTCCACATGCTCAGGGGATACATCCATATAATGGTTGGTGAAGGGCTGACCTGTGCCAGGCATTGCAGAGTTACATTTTGTCCCACCTTGATGGTGACATTGGCAGTGGGGGTTGAGATCTGGGACTTCACACAAGCACTGAGCTCAGTTTCATGAAAAAACTGCCCCGCCTTGGAGAGAGGGCCCCAGCACATCAAGTAGGGATTCACCAGGATGACTGGGAGGCTGATGGACTTTACAAACTGGATGAGTCCCCTTAGGTGACAATCACATAGCCAGGGGTTACTGTGCAGCGCCAGCACCATGCTGGAGAGAGTCCTGGCCCCGCAGCCAGGATGCTGGCGTTTCTGGTAGGCCAGCCAGTTCAAGAAGACATTCCTGGATACAACTGTAAGCCTGTTGGAAGATAGGTCAAGGTAGGTCAGATTTACCAAGAACTGAAGAGCCAGCTCAGGGAGTACATCGATCCTGCTGTGCTGGAGATCCAAGAGCCTCAGGACTCGGGTGGCGAGGAACGCTGTCCACGGTACCGAACGGAGCTTGTTCCCCTCCAGTCTCAGCTCTTTCAGTTCTGGCAGGTGCTCCAAGGCTCCTGTGTGGGTCACAGTGACATTGTTAAAATTGAGCCAAAGGTATTCCAAGATACTCATGTTGACAAAAGACCCTCGGAGCAGCTCAAATAAGAATGAATGTTCAATTCACACTTGCTCAAACTCTTCAGGAAGTTTCTCTGGGATCTTTCCCAGAGAGAGAGAGACGTGCACTGTAGAGTCCTGCACAAGAAACCAGAAGAGCCTTAAGATGAACGTCATGGAACTGGGAAGTGGGATCAGGCTTATCCTGGCATCAGATGTATGAATTAGAAAAAATATTATTCACTTGAAATAAAAGAGTTAGACCTATTTTGGTAAAAGTTCACAGTTCATAAAAATTCAGTACCAGCTAGAATGAATCTCAGAGATATTTTGCTTATTTCCTGAAAATTCTAGGCCTACTCTCATTCCAAATTATCCCCAAAGAAATCCCATCCCCTACAGCCCTTTGGCATCTTGCCACCACAGCGCACCTGCCAAAATTCTCTGAGCAGGCACACCCTGGCCACCAGCATGGCTAAGCTGCATGTGGATCCAGAACGATCAGAACTAGCAGGAAATAGTGAGAAATGGAAGCCATTTTCCTCTGTAAGAAACTGCCTTGGGAGTTTTGAATAATATAGTCCCAGCTTCTGAGCGGCAAATCCTGTTATTGGTAATCCTCGGTGACATAGGTCAGCGCAGCAGTTGAAAAGCCTCTGGACACTATGAGGTCTACTGTGGCCCAGACCACAAGCTCCGTAAGATAGACCTCATGGTCAGGGAGCCATGTCTCTTAAATAAGGTAGGAACCCCCCCCCCCTTTGTCTCGTTCTTGAGTTCAGAAAGCAAACTCTAAGCCAGTTGTCCAATTCTGTCTTGGTGCTGCCTTCCCTCAGTCTCTTGCAAAAGGATCTGAGACACCAGCAGGCGCACTATGCTGGGCAAGATGCCAGGGCGCTGTAAGAGGGTGGGCTTTCTTTGCGGATGATTTGGAATGAGAGTAGGCCTAGAATCGTGAGCACCATGGTTCAGGTGATTTGGCCAAAATTAATCTAATCTTTCATCAATCACAATTGGCTCCTGAAACCTAGAATTTCCAAGCATACTCTAAAAATGAGTGCAGATGATGGGTGACAAGTACCCCTGCGCCCAAGCTGAGGAGTGGCTCTCTCCACCACCACCTGCGGAGGGGTCAGTCACGCTGGAGAAGCGTCACGGTGCAGCAGGTAAACCACAAGACTGTTTTCTGATTAAAGTGAACATATATATATACACATATATATGTATAAATCTTGGATCTCACAACTTTTCCTGAATGCTGTGTATTTCAAAAATAAAAAAGGAAAGGCCTACACTTTAAAGTAATTTTTGGATGCTCGCTCTGCCACCCATCATTCAGTCAACAAGTATTTATTGGTCATCTGCTTTACGCCACACACTTACTAGGTGCAGGAAATGCAGTGTGAGCAAAACTGTCATCGACCCCGTCCCAAGGAGTCTCCCCAGCTCAGGTTCCCTGTCTCAACATCTTTGAAAGGCATTTAATCTCTATGAGCATCACTCCCTCCTCTGCAAAATGAGGAAATTAATTCATACTTCACAGTGCTTCTAGGTAATTTTGGGATTATGTAAAATATAGCACCTAACATACAGTAGTGTCCAATAATTTTTTTAAAATACATAATCTGCATACTGTATGTGTATTCACCACCTCAAGTCATAAATTTTAATTCACCTCCCACACCAACAGATTCTGGAAGAGCCACAGAGCCTACTCCTTGTTACTCGGGTACTTCCTGGTGAGTATTGAAATTCCATCCGTCCCCCTAAGACTTGTGATGTGTATTATCCCCTGCAAAGGCCTCAAGGAAGAAAATCCTCTTAGTAACTAGCCAGTGAGGGGAGAAATGGGTCACAACTAAGCTGATTACACTTCAGCTTTCCATCCAAGCCAGACGCATGTGCTGGAGTTTTCATAGTCTAACCCTACAATCTGCCTAGATCTCTGGAGTTCCTCCTGAGATGAAAATCAAAACAAGGACATGCAGTGGGTACAAAGCTTATGGTGGACACGGGGCTATGCCACCTAGACCCCTTCAGGGAATGAGTGGATGCTCACCTGCGCACAGAGTTTGCAGGAGGCCACTCCCCTTCTAATGCAGCCCACATGCAGTAACTGAGGGTGGTGAAGGCACAGGACTTGGACAGTTTGGCCTGACGGGAACAACACTGATACTGATGGGTGATTCTCATTCCAGAGTCCCCACCAGCTTGGCCAAGATTTTGTCAGGTTTGCTTCAAGGAAAAGAAAGTGATTTAATCCACGGGTATCACAAACCACTAATGAATTATGTTCTCACCACAAAATATAAGGGCCTAAATAACTCTCCACCTCCCCAATTTATTCTCTGTTTATCTCTTATTAGTCTCTTGAGATGAGTCTAGCTCAACCCAACTTCACAGTGTGAATCTGGAATAGCTTGCCCACTTCCGCAGTGCTCCTCTCCTGACGCCTCACCCTCTGGTTTCCTTATGTGGCATATGGGCATAAGGAGTAGTTATGTTGTCAGTTAAGGCAGGAGACTAAGACAATTAAAGTTACTTGGGTCATATTATTTTTCTTAAATAACTAGTGGTTAAGTGGTGTCTCTAAACTCAGTAGATTTAACAACAAAGGGAAGGAGTCTGAGTATATTGCACTCCCATCCCTCTTCCTGCAAGATGCTTTTAGGAATTGGGCTCTTAGAGTGGTAGAGACAGACTCATAAGAAAGAACTTACTCTGTGTTTATGAAATAATTAGATACAAATGACTTCTGGGTGGCAACTCCCTGGCTTGTCTTAGAATATTAACCAGAGAGCTTCTATCTACTCAACTGGCAGAACTTTGGGAAACAAACACACTGCCTTTCCTCTTCTCAAACTGACGCTCTTCCCACCCTCCTCCACCTGCTGCCAATCATGTCTGAGGAGGGGCCCTTGCTGGCCCATGCTCTGTGGCTTGCCTGTGATGGACACACACAAGACTGTCTTCCCAACCCCCTTGAAATAGGTGGGTTGTGGGACCAACATTTGTGCTAATAAAATGTTAGAGCAAAAGATGTTTTTAAATCCTCTACATGATTCTCCAGTTTCTTTTCCCTTGTTGCAGCAATTGTTGACATTCCAGGTGGTGGGACTTCTTCAGGCTGAGTCCCTGAATGAGTGAATGGAGCAGAGCCCTCCCTTCGCCCACATTTCCCACTGACTCAGGTCGACTCCGTGAGAGCAAAAGTAAATATTTCTATGTTAAACTACTGGGAAATGTAAGCACAGCATAAGCATAACCTATTCTGGCTAAAAAAGCTCCTGTAATCAAATAAAATATGCTCAAGTGCTTGTAAATTGAGTTTGTCTGTACTGGCTTATGTGATGGTCAAAACAAACATTTCCAGCTCTAGCCCTGGCTGGTGTGCTCAGTTGGTTGGAGCATTGTCCCATACATCAGACGGTGGTGGGCTCGATTCCTGGTCAGGGCACTTTCCCAGGCTGCAGGGTTTGAACCCCTTTTGGGACCTGTGAAGGGGGCAACTGATCAATGTTTCTTTCTTTCTT